TGAGGTCGGCGAGGATCTTCCGTATCGCCTTCCAGTGCCTCTCGGCAGGGGCATGGGCGTGGCGCGCTACCGCACGCACAGCGAACCAGATGTCCGGGCGCGAGAACGTCGACACCCACATCATGCTGCCGATGGCCTCCCTCACTGGCCACTCCCCTCCACTCTCGTCATCTCGCTTCGGCCCTATGGGGGATTCTGTACTCAGCTCGGTCGACGCTAGAGCCCTCACGAAGGCGTCTGGAGAGTTGAGCACGAGGTTCTCCGCTCCCAGCAGGAGGTCCTCGGCCTCTTGGCGCGCGATGTTGGCCTCCTCCGCGCGCTCGCACAGCAGTGCTTGCACCGCCCTCGCCTCTAGCCCTTCCACCACGTCGACCACACACGCGAGCATCCAGTGGGTGTACTCCTCCGTGCTGTTGATGGGCAGGGTGGGCAGCCCGGCCGCCGACGCATGGCGGGCGAGCAGACCTTCGGCACTCGTTGGCGACGGCGACGACTCGTACCTCGTGTTCCGGCGAGGGTTCTCCCTGAGTCGGCGGCTGGTGAGTTCCGCCGGCTCGCCAAAGCGGGCGAGCTTCCGTTCCTCGCGCCCGCGGAGCGCCGGGATATCCGTGTCGCTGCCGCTGTCGCTGTCACTGCCGCTGCCGCCACCGCTGCTGCTGCTGCTGCTACTGCTGCTGCTTCTGCTGCGGCGGTCGTCCTCGCCGCCGCCCACATCGGCCATCCCGGTCGACGTGGTAGATGGGGCGACGCTCGCACCCTCCCTGCTCGAGGAGGCACCATCGCCAGCGTCGCCCGCGCCCGACTCCTGGGGCGCGGCCGGCGGGGCGCATCGCGCGCGGGCGGCTCCGCGGGCCCCGGGGTTACCGTCGTGTCAAGGTGGAAACCTCCATCCTCAGGTTCTCCCTCCGCCCTCCCTCCACCGTGGCATGACGCACCCTCCCCGCCCTCGTGCTCCCCAGTCGTGAGCTCCTCGGTCTCCTCTGCAATGGGAGGCAGCGGTGCTCGGGTTGACGTCCTGTTGGGGATGGGCTTGGATAGCCCCTTTGCCGTCGAGCACCCCATGCACTCCCGGAGCTGGCCCACCAGCGTCACCCCTTACTGCTTCGCCGTGTTCTTCAGCAGCACCTCGTGGGAGTGGCCGTGCGCGCAGTGGAAGTCGTTGATGTCAATGGGGGTGCGGTTCGCTTTCGCGTTATCAGGAGCAATTATGGCACAGGCTAGTTCCCTACCCGACTCTATGCGGTGACCAGTCTGAACGAACAGGTCCCCCCATAGAGGGAAGTTCACCGACTCCCCCCCACCAACGAACACCTCCAACTCGTGCTCGTCTGCGGCTAAGCGGCCCTTGGTTTGTTTCAAGAGGGCTGTGAGGGACACGAGGTTGTAGTTGAGCTCCGGCACATGAGCGACCCGTTTCAACAACAGGTCTGCGGTCCCAACGCGAGAACCGATGGTCACCCTCACGTCGCCATACCCTACGATGGCGAAGGCTTGCTCCCCTGCGGCGACACTCAAACGTCGATCGCACTCATGGTAGTTTTCGAACGCGTTAGCGCTCGGGAACATGTGGTTGGTTGCGCCGGTATCGGCCACAAACCTTTCCTGCCTGGCCTGCTCTACACCCCCTCGATCAACGACTCTGTTCCACTCGCCTGTGAAGTCACTGACCACTAGCGCCTCCTCTGCCACGTCCAGTGCGGTGGCGTCCAAGACCGGCAGCTCCACCGCGAGCACCGCCTGCTCGGACGAGCACGTGCTCTTGTCGTGTCCGTAGCCCAGGCACTTCTCGCATCGCAGGGGCTCGGGCTTGGTACAGGCGGCCGCCTGGTGACCCTTCTCTCCGCACCGGAAGCAGCGGCCGTGCATGCTACTTGCACCGCCGCCGCCGCCTCCGCCGCTGTTGCCACCACCACCGCCCCCACCGCCCTTGCTGCCACCCCCTTTCCCCTTCTGGCCGCCACCACCGCCGCCGCCACTCTTGTTGCGGCCTCCGCTGCTGCGGCCGGGCGCTCCACCCCTGCTGCCACCGTCGCTCGCGAGGAAAGCATGCTCCGCCTTCCGCTGGCCCTTCGGGGCCTTCCTCAACTCCGGGAGGCTCGCGTGCACCGTGCTCACGATCCTGACGATCTCGCCCCTGTCCAGCTTCGTCGCCGTCTCCAACAGGAACTTCGCTTGTTGGTACTCGGGTGGAAGAGAGTGGACGAAGTGTGTCAGCGCAAATGTGGTGTGTCAGCGTTGAGCCCCTTTTCGCTTAGGCGCATGTATATCTGCTCGAGCTTGCTTAGGTGCTCGATTGGATTGCTGCTGCTGTGTGCCGGGATCGAGAAGCGGAACATCTCTTTCATCAGGGCTTGTTTGGATCCCTGCGACTCGGGGTCGTAAACTTTCTCAAGCCTCGTGAGGACCCCCTTCGCTGTCACACAACTACTGACGACCGCTTTGTCGGTGTCTTTCACCACGGCGGTAGTGATGAAGTGGAACGCGGCGAGCCCACGTGCGACCTCGCTCCTAGTATAGCGCAAGTCGTTGTAAAGTGTGGAGGTGGGCATGTTCGGGTCGCCCACGGGGGCATGTCTCTCAGTACTACCGATGAATTGACCGTCTAGTTCCACGGTCGTAGAGGCCTGGATGAAAGCTTTTCGCCACGTGCTAAATCCGCTGCTGCGGCCCCCCTCAAGGCGAGGGGCCACCACGTTCACTTTCTTCGAGTGATTGAAGCTATCGATGTAATCACCGTTACCACGAGTTGCGGGTATCTCACCTGGGGGGTTTAACCCCCTCGCTTCCCCGCGGTCAGCTCCTACGCCAGGCCCCACTCTCGCTGGAACCCCAGGACTCGCTCCCGGTATGTTGTCCCAGCGGCTTTCCCACGGGTGATTTGGCCCATCACAGGCCGCTTCCCGGGAAAATGCCCCGCCGCCCTCTGACGGCAAGGACTCTCTCTGGCTTGGGACGACAGCACCGCCGCCCCTACTGGCATCGCCCGCCACGGCGTCGCCAGGCTCCTTCCTCTTAAGCTCCATTACTATGCTCATCAGCTGCGATAACTGGCCCTCCAGCCTCGCAATCGCCGGGTCCTCGGCGTGTTGCTGTTGCATGGCTGAGGTCTCTTCCCCCAGCCCTTCGACCGAACCGCTGTCCGACGCAGCCATCACCCGATGCGGCTATCCCTCGAGGGACAAACTCTAGAGTGTTTGCAGGCCGTACTCCGCGTACTTATCGGGTATTGTTTGTGTAGTGTATTAACTTCAGACGGTGAGGCAACGCCCGTACCCAGGGCGCTGTCGTGCTCAGAAAGGAGGAGTGGCAGCAGGGCTGCTGCACACAACAAAAAGCGGGCCCGGGTGCATCATCACCGAACCCCTACCTAAAAGGTTCTACACCATCTACGCCACACTTGCACGTACGGCTAACATATCCAAACCATGTCCGTAGACCCACCAACATTCCAAACTATTGCAAGGGATGTTGATACTTGCGTATGTTTCGTTATTCATTGTAGCAACAATAGACCGTCGTTCCTTTGTTGTCCAGGATATTTTTTATGCTTGGCCTCACCTTGCCCTCGGCACACAACACAGCGGGAAAAGTTCACCACGCTCAACCACGGCACTCTTATTTTTGTTTCGCTTGTTGTGCACTGCTGTTGTGTGTTCCCTATGTGGTGCGCTTTTTTCTCGATGCTTGTCTTGTCTCTGTTGCAGGTCATGCATCAAGAAGTATCGAACACAGCATTTAGCATCTCTCAAAAAAGCAAGTATTCAATAAATTAAGTACATTGCGTGCCATTGCGGGGCCTGAGGGTTTTCTTTGCCTAGACAATGGCCTTTGGGCTTGGGGCGCTTTCACAGTAGGATATTTTCGAGTGAAAGGTATCCGTTCGGCCGCGAGCGGACTGACCATCCATGTAGTGTGGGGGTCGCAGTAGGCGACGTTATCGTTGAACAAGTCACGGGCTTCCTGATTAGTGCATTTGGAGCAGCCAAGGAACTGAGCAGACTCAAGTGGCCTGTTTGGTTTTTGGTGGTGACAGAATCAGCAAGCATGATCAAGACGTGTGTGAGATTGATATGTATGTAGTCGACTACCTCCGCATGCGAGTTTGTGCTCCACTTCAGACGGCTAACTCAGAGTAATAATTGGGTTCTGTCTTCCCTTCTTCTCAGTCATGCGAGCCCGTCGGTCATGCTTCGCTGGTTTCGTGCCCCCCCCTGCTGCGAAAATCGAAAACAAGGCGTGATACAGTTCCTGGTTTCCTTCGGAAATGCCTCTCCAGGCCAAACAGAATGAGCAGCAGTAGGGCTTGGCTGTGAGCTGTGGCTTGTTCTAACCGAGAAAAGGAGCGCTCGGTGATGTTGGACGTTCCTTCCATTCAGCAGTCGGGTCATCGTTACTGCATTCATTGAAGCAGCGGGGTATGGAGTTGCAAACATCAGAGTTGGTGAATGTACACTAACCTACAGTAAGCAGTTTTGCCTGCTTCAAACATGAAGCACGCACCGGTGATGTGCCATGTCGCATCAGACTTGTGGACAGGGGTTACGCAGACGCAGCCTGCAAAGGTTGTGAAGCACATGTGCATACATACGCAATATAGTGCTCCAGGTGCCGGCGGCAGCAGTTACTGCATCGCTACGTTGAGTTCCAGGCGTATGTGCTGGTCTCTCCTGGCAGCGTTCTGTCACCCGTGACCTGCAAACAGCCGTAGAGTAAATGGCTGTACGCCTGTGTACTCTGTGTGTGTTGCTGTGCACAAAGGCTCATCACTTGGGGTGGTAGCGCCAGCCTGTAAGAAAGGCGTGCTCGTTTGGGATTGAGTGGGGGTAGTTACGGAGGTCTTGAATTGGGAACGAACATCCCAGATGTTGTCGATATCTCAATGTCACACATACCCGTCCCGGTTTCAGTTTTTTGCCCAGTACTCCACGGTCGTATGGGCCCAACAGCCACGCACGCCGTCCGTGGTTACAAGCAATAACTGATGTCGCCGACACCACTGTAGCCTAGCATGAGCATGTGATTCTTATGCCATTCGAGTGAATAATGCAGCAGGCCGCGAAAAGTGTCCTGTTGTGAAGTTCCAGGGATCTGGAGCGACGCAATCAAAGTTGTCTATTCTCCCCCGCATTGACAACCCTGACCGCAGTTAAACCTACATAGAAGATCTGCCGCGACCTCCATTAGCGCCACGTCCTTCCGTCCCACCAACCATGTTCGTGAGCAACCGCTTGCTTCCACATCTTGCTGGCTCGACTATTTGAGTAAAATCTGTCAACACGCCGAAGGCCTTGCGGCCTTTCGCCCATCATTTTTAAGCCGGTTCACGTGTTTCTCATGAAGAAACAAAGAGAGGTGTCTACATAAGCTCGCCGGCATCACACATTTTCTACATGGATAGCTGTTTTTGGCAGACCTTCTGTAGCACGGACCGTACCCGGGGGTTCGCCCTCTTGTCACTGGTGAACGCCTGCCATGTCATGAAAGATGCCCCGATCTTGTCCGCCCACAGACCAACAGCCGCAACCGAATACAACCCGCAGTCGCTTCCAGAACCGCTGCCCGTCTATTTGCTTCCCATGACCACATAAGTACCCCTCAGATCTTGGTTACCCAGCTCTCATCGGTTTTGCCTTTCATCTGTTGAATTTACATCATCGATTCGTTCGTAACACAGGGGGCGTGAAGAGAAGGGCTTGTACGAGGAGGTCACGTGCAGCAGGATTCCTGGCGTCCTACTCAAAACTGGATTGGGGGGTCAATCCGGGGGGGCGCGGGTCGGTTAGTGTGGCAGTGTAGTATACACTCATCTTGTGTTTGCTTTGTATCAGATACAGTACTGTCGATATTAACCTGTACACCTCATATTGAAATACAGTATAACCTTACGTAACATGGTGCTTCATTGAATAGGACTGACTTTCGATGGTCGAAGATGAATCTATACACATCTCTTGCTACAATCAGTTTAGACCTTGACACTTAAGCCTACACAGAAATGAATGTAGGTTGCACTATGTACAATACTAAATGCTACCCAATGAGTGCCGTGACAAACTTGGATGAAGAAGAACAACATGGACTAAAATAGGGGGCAAGGACGTCAGGAGTCGCGCTGCCAGTGCCCTCGTTGGCGGGGTTCCGTTCGATGAATACTGGGTGAGGTAGTTTTGGAGGTAGCCAGGGGATGTTACAACGTTCTAATATTGTTTCGCACGAATCGTATCGAACAAGTGTACTGGAAACCAATTGGGTATCGGCAAATGTGGAATGTACTTGTTCGGGGATTGCAACACGACACAACGTATCGCCGTGGTCGCCCTTGCCTTCCCAAAAAACAACAGGCATGACTAGCTGTTACACCGCAGCAACTTACAATCCCGCTTGCAGAAGAATCAACACCGGATGATGACGTATCTCACCTGGCCATACACCAGCCTCGCTAGATTGTTGACCAATGACTCCTTCTGTGGGTGGTTTGGCGGCAGCACTCTCTGAATATCAAACTCGCCAAGATTACCCTGTGCAACAAGGATTGGAATATCGTAAGGGAGAGGTACGAGGCAATGTTCCACCAAACACTGAAACAGTCCACGAAACAATCATTCCCGAAGAATGTCGTGGTTTATTTCTCTCGCTTTCTCACCTGCACTCTCAACAACTCTAACTCTACCCTGCTGTTGAGTACCGCGGCCACGTCAGGGTGATCAGGGCCCAGAGCCTTATCGACGATGGCGAAGGCGCGTTCATACAGAGGTCCGGCTTCCTCATATTTGCCCTGGGTTTCGACACAAGAGGGCGAAAAACATGCAGCCAAGGTAACACAGAGCATGTAACAACGAAGTCGTTGAAACGTCAAGCACCCACAGGGACAACTAAAACCGTCCTGGGATACCGTAGCGCCTCGCACCCCACTCTGCACCAAAAAAAAGACCGGCGACGCTTAGCATGATGAACCCATCCGCTTAGCATGGCCAGGATTTCCTTGAAATTCTGTTGACTCTCACCTGCCTGCGCAATACCCACGCCCAATTGTGGAGCGATTGGGCAACGTCACGGTGATCAGGTCCTAGAACTTTCTCGCGGATGATATTGGTACGCTCATACAAACGCTTGGCCTCATCAAGGTCGCCCTGCAGCGTTAGAGAAGAGCACGACAGTAGAATATTCAAGACATATGAAGATAATATTGGAGGAAATAAATGCCCAATAACCACGCCCGGAGGTGGGGTGTTGAGGAAATTTTGGGGGGTGTTGCCCTATAATTGCACCAAGCCTTTCCGTCTCCCACCAGCTTATCAAGCACCAGCATGCACAGCGGCTCTGGAATGTGGGATGGCAGCGAGATAGGTATGTGATCAAGGCAGTAGGAAGTGCCGCGGAGGAAACAATTCTCGACAAACAGGCCCGGTTGTTGAGCAATCAGGCCACGCCCCGGAATTCAAGCCGTTCGCGAGGATGACGAGGGAGCTTTCAAGAAGCTTTTTCGTCTCCTCAGACGTTTCCTGGGAAGGGACAGAAAAAGCAATCAATCGAGAACATACGGAGACACCAATCGTTCAACTACCCCGCCAGGATGTTGAGCTCTTGAACGTTGTTGTGTTACCCTCCCCTTACTATTAATGAAATGATCTTGAATGAATACATGGCGTGGAGCAGTATATTCAGGCTCACGAGACACAAAAATCAAACACGAAGCATCTATAGACCACTCGACAGAATGGAGCGGCACTACATGCACCCTGCACTACACGTTGTCTGTGATGCCAATGTAGGCTGTGGTTCGGCGAAGCGAGAAGAAGAATGTAACTCCTTCACGACACGGATAGACTATTCACGCACTAGACAGATAGACTGTTCACTCACGACGGATAGGCTATTCCCTCACGCGACGGATAGAGTGTTCACATAAGAGACGGATAGACTGTCCACGCAAGAGACGGATAGTCTGTTCACTCAAGAGACAGATTGACTGAATGACGAATTGTGTGAATGGATCCGAATGCGATGTGTGGAGTGAATCCTGCGGCAGATTCCATTTGGGTATAAGGGGGTGCACACCTGGTCCGCCAGCGTCGACGCCCTGTTGCTGAGCGCTGAAGCATAGTCGGGATGTTCTTCGCCCACGGTTGCACACAGAACTTCTAGTGCCCGCACGTGCAGAGCATCTGCTTCTGTGTACTGGCCCTGAAGTTTGACGGGCAAACGCAATGCGAATGGATGTGATCGGGACTAACGCAGTTTGCTGCGGAAGCAATTCTCAACAGCCATACACCGGTGATGGGCACTGAAACCACCTGAAGAGCACTAAGAATTCTCCCTGGCAAATCTTACGGAAGTTACCTGCTTGCTCAACAGCTGGGCTCTTTCGTCTAGCCCTATTGCCCTCTCATGGTCGTCAGGCCCGTCAACTTTCTCGCGGACGGTGAAGGAACGTTCAACAACGGTCTGGCTTCATCGTGTTTTCCCTACAAAGCGGCGAAGCAATACAAAGAGGGATATGGTAAAGAGAGGAGATTCGGACACACAAATGCTCCATAACTACGGCTATTGAGTTCCTGCGTAATACTGTGTCAAGTTTGGCTGGGGGTTCCTTGTTTTGGTGTTCGCGCTGCACAAAGGTTCTAACTCATTAACAACTACTTTTGTTCAGCAATCCATATGGAACTGTGGATCATAGCGGCAAAGGGCGCAAAGTTGTCTGAAATAGTTCAGATTCTCACGTACGCTTGGCGGGATGTGTATGAATAGTTGGGGCATGTCGCTGCAACATCATCAGTTTCTTGGCACATCCAAGCGATATCTGTAATACCCGTGTAACTATGGATTGGGGGGCCGGAAAGGTCGCACGAAGGTTCGAAAGCTATGATCACTGCGTTCCAAATATTTCACGACCGCGCGCGTTCCTCGACACCATCCACCAAAAGCCATCGCTACGTCGCCACCGCTATCTACAGTGTGCGCGCTGGTCGCCATGTGAACGCTCACAGTGCCTTGTGGGTTGCTTGCGTGCATGCCACAATGCCCCATTTTCTACGTCAGAGTGTTGTTCAGTTGGGTATCCGAGACATGACGACATGGAATCAGGCAAAAAGGAATTCCAAGTTCCAAGTCCCACGTTCTCCCTGCTGTTGGATCCACGGCCTGGGCTTCATTGCTTTGACAGCAGTGCACCACAAAAAAATCCCTGGAAGCGATTGCCGGGTCCTACCTGACTCTCCAAAAACCTAGCCCGGTTTCTGAGCGCCACAGCGACGTCTGGATGCTCACGTCCTTGAACACGCTCACGGGTGTTGACAATCTCCTGCAACAGAGGAGAAGCTTTGTCGGGGAACCCCTGATTGATGTACAAGTCTGCCATCCATGCACGAGACGTGATCGTGCTCGGGTGGTCCGGCCCCAGTGCAGCCATGTTTATGGCCAGCGCCATTTCGAAAAAAGGCTGCGCCTCGCCATACTTTCCCTGAAAAAACGACAACCAGGAAGCGAAAACCATAACGGGACGCATCAAGTCGGAGACTAATGGACAACGGCAGCTTTCACCTTACTCGGATGCTGGTAAAACAAACGTTACCACCGTGCTTCTGGGACCGTCATATTTGTACAGGTGCAGTAGTGTGACTCTCGATAACTCCAACATTGAAGGTCTGAGTACAGTAAAAGCTTCCAGAAACCGCACTAATCTAGAAACATAAGAACGACTCGGCTAGTACCTGCGTGCTGAACAACCCCGCTCGGTTGTTCAGTGTAGCGGCCAAATGTAGGTGCGTAGGACCGAAAATATTCTCCTGTATCGTCTGAGCCCGCTCAAATAGTAGCTCAGCTTCGTCGTACTTTCCCTGCCGGTGGTGAACAGCGCGCAGGGTGGTGTTCTAGTGAAGGTCGGATCTAGCTTCGCGGAGGCACAACGCTCAATACGCCAGACTGTTGAGAGAGTGGATTTCATCGGGAGCTCCAGACGCAAAGCATAATTTGGTGCCGGTTATGGTCGTTGTGAGGGGGTCTACCTCAGCGTATTATTCCCAGTGAACAAATATGGTGAGTTGGTGTAGGCAGTGTTTCATCAAAACCGAAAACTATCCACCAAGAAATCGATGATAGAGTTTGCGAGAAAATTTTCTATTTTCGCAGTACTCTTCGACAACCCAGCCCGGCTACTTTCCAGCACAACATACCCAGGATGCGAAACTGCTTTCCAAGAAAGTTCGCTTCTCTGACCTGCCTCTGCAACAACAACCTCCGGCTTGGTTGTTGAGCAATGACATTCCGAACACCAAGAGTGTTGTTTCAGTTTTTCACCTTGTCCCAAAAAAGTTACCACATCATTCTCACGGTGCTCACCTGCGCTCTCAACGACTCCGCCCGGTTGCTAAGCGACACGGCAAGACTCGGGTGGTCTGATCCCAGAGTCTTCTCCATGATCGCAATAGCCTGAGCATATAGTCGATCGGCCTCCGCAAACTTTCCCTGGAACATGAACATCAGACGCCGTCGTAATTTGGTAAGGGTTTCTGAGAGCTGGTGGCGGCGGAACAACTACTGTCGCAACGGCCCGATGATCTGGCGCGATATAGTTATCAAATATCGGCTGCTTCTTCATGACTCTGCTTCTGACATTCCGCGTGAACCAAGTAGCGGTTAAAGACAGTGACGCACCATCAAGGTACGAGCGTTTCAACATCATTGTGAACCTTACGAATTCCCCACACAGGTCGAGGTCGCTCGCCAGACTCCCACCGCTGACCGGGCACACCGAAATATTTTCTTTGAAATTTCAGAAGGCTCCCAGCTGACCAACAACGTTTTGAGGCAACATTCTGATAGCTCCGTCCCACAGATTCTCCCAGACATGGGTACAATAACACAGCAGGACAACACAACACCTGGTACATTGTGCCCGCGCTTATCTGGCGTTCAACAAGCATCGCCCGATTGCTGCGACATCCACACGTTTCCCACAAGTTCCCTGGAAATTTCTGGCAGCCCTCACCGCTTTCTTCAATAGGATCGCCCGGTTGTTGAGCGAATGGGCCACATCGGGGTGCACCAGACCGAGGGTCTCCTGTCTCAGAGCCTGTGCGCTTGCATATAGTCTCATGGCCTCAGTATACTTTCCCTGGAACGTGCAGGAAATGGCCGAAAGCGATAGGATCAGGAAACGATAACCTCCACGGTGTTGTAGAGTACTGTGATGTCCCAAACACACCACAAAAAGCGTTCAAGGGCATTCTGAGGCCCCTCACCTGACCACTACTAAAGCAAAGACAACCGCTTGTGGAGCTTTACAGCTCGTTCGGGCTCCACACGATTTCTCCTTCAAGTTTTGATGGCTTTCACCTGACTCTCCAACAGCATCCCCCGGTTGTCGAGCCATGAAGCAAGTTCGGGGTGGCCAGAGCCCAGCGTTTTTTCTCCTATCGCGAGAGCTTGAAGGAACAGAGACTCCGCCTCCGCGAACTTTCCCTGAAACGTGAGGGGAAACGGCACAGGGGTAGGATCAAAGACTCGACGAGTTTGCCTTGGTGGAGCGAGCGCCCAACAATCGTGTCCGGTTGTTGAGCGTTGCAACGTAAGAATAGTCGCACCCCAGGGGGTCTTCGAGGATCTCCTGCGTCCTGTCGTTTAACGCCTTGGCTTTGGAGTACTTTCGCTTCCTAGAGAGCAGTGGGTAATTGAAGGCAGATGGACACCACAACCACCAACAAAGTGGGCCTGTGAGATTCTCAGAACATTCCTTAGACTCTCACCCGAGCAGGCATCAACTCCGACACTCCGACCGGTGATTGTGGATTAAAGAAACCCAAACAGGAACCGCGAAGAGGCGGGTCGGGTGGTGCGAAACACTGTGCCGGATTGAACCCCTTGCTGGACTTTTAAAATGGTCAAGCGTCCTCGAGGCAGTGCTTATAACTGTCTATGGAAGTGAAAGCACCGGAAATAAATTCAGTCATACACAGCTGTCATCCGTACGCAAGGAAGTAAGCACGAGATGCCGAACACCCTTAGCAGGATGCAGCGCGCCCTTCATGCGACTCGCCGAATACCTCACGGCGCTTCGCGCTTGGTGATGTGAGAGCCTGGTCCAGTGAGAACCCGGCGTGCTCCGTCCCGGCTTTGTAGGGATGCGAGGTCAATGGTCTGACGACTACGGCATGCACGACTATGAGTACACACACACACACACACACACCACCCCCTCCTCTCCCCCCCGGTGTTTGCCATCGGGGTTGGGTTTTCGTCGCCTGGCAACGACGTTATAAAACAAACCAATTCACTTCGTAAACTCGGCAACCAGGTTACCGTTTTTTTTTATTACCTCTGTTTTTTTTGTTTTGCGGTAATCATAATGGTGGCCGAGTAGATCATGTTGTGCGGGGTCGAGAAACCTCACTCCGCGCAAGGGGGATGATCGCACCACATTGTGTTAAAATGGTCAAGCATCCTCGAGGCAGTTACGCAGTGCTTATAACTGTCTATGGAAGTGATAGCACCGGAAAATAAATTAAGTCACACCCAGCTGTCATCCGTACGCAAGGAAGTAAGCACAAGATGCCGAACACCCTTAGCAGGACGCAGCGCACCCTTCATGCGACTCGCCGAACACCTCACGGCGCTTCGCGCTTGGTGATGTGAGAGCCTGGTCCGGTGAGAACCCGGCGTGCTCCGTCCCGGCTTTGTAAGGATGCGAGGTCAATGGTCTGACGACTACGGCATGCACGACTATGAGTACACCCCCCCCGGCACTGCACCATTGCACCAACCACCCGCGAACGATGACGTGCATTTGCTGGCCCGCCTGTGTTGTTTTTGTGCTGCCTTGTGTTGCTCTGTTTGTTTGTATGTTTTTCGTTTGTCGCTACGGCGTATGTCTCTCTGTCTGTGTCTTTCTCCTTCTCTTTCCTTTCTCTCCATCTGCTCTCTTCTTTTTCTTTTTCTTTTTCTTTCATTATCCAGTCTAGGGTTACCTCGCATGCATAGCGTGTAGAGGCGAACGGAGTGGCCTAGACTATCTGTCGTTGGCGTTTATTGGCTTGCGGAGCCTTCGGGTCCATTTTATTTTCGTTTTCCTTTTTTGGGTAAGCTAGCCTGTGACCACGGGAATCGACCCCGTCAAGTGTTGGACTAGTACGGACAGAAGAAGGTACTGGGAAGAGAGAACGGAACGGTTTTGGATGCGAAGACAACAACAACAACAACAACAACAACAACAACAAACAGCTTACCTACAGACACCCAAAACATTTTCCGGACAAAGTTTCGACGACTCTCACCAGCGTGTAGCACAGCCGCCCCCGGTTGTTGAGCACTCGAGCCACGTCGGGGTGCTCCGAACCCAGCAGATTCTCCCGGATAGCATGTGACCGCTCATAAAGTGACTCGGCCTCGGCAAACTTTCCCTGTGAAATAAATAGTGAGTAAGTGTAAGGCATTGGTCCAACAAATCGGTTGTTGAGGATGACACCATCAACTGGGCACCACGGGCACGTTTCGGCAGGTTCCTCAAGGCTCTCACCTGAATCTCCAAAAATCCAGCGCGGTGGTCAAGCGAATTGGCCACATCGGGGTGATCCTGACCCAGCACCTCCTCTCGTATCGTCTGTGCCCGCACATAGCGTAGCTCAGCTTCATCATACTTGCCCTGCCGCAGACGATGTGGTGTCTTGGTGTAAGGAAGTGATCAAAAATCGTTTGCTTAGGACCAGAAACTCTACCGCGCATCACAAGCATGTCGCCCGATTTTCTTTGCCTCTCACCTGCGCGGTCAACAGTGCCCCCTGGTTGTTCAGCCAACAAGCAAGTTCGGGGTGGCCAGGTCCCAGCGATTTTTCTCCGATCTCGATAGCTCTATTGTACAGAAACTCCGCCTCAGCGAACTTGCCCTGAAACATGAACCGAAACGATAAAGGGGAACGGCGAAATTTCAACGAGCTTGCTTTGGAGAAAAGAGAAACGAGCACACAACAAGGCGTTTGAGCATTGCGGCAACTCAAGAATGGTCCCACCCCAGCGAGAGTTCGAGGATCTCCTGCATCCTCAGGTACACCAGCTCGGCTTTGGGGTACTTACGCTGCGTAGGGAGCAGTCGGGTTGTTGAAGGCAGTGGGTTCGCCACAAGTAAAGAATCAACCACCAACAGGTGGCCTATGAGGTATCTTGGAAAATTGCTTAGACTCTCACGTGCGCCAACAACAACTGCACCGGTGCTTGCGAACCATAGAATATCTGCAGAAAACCAAATGATTTTCCGGACAAATTTCCGACGACTCTCACCAGCGTGTAGGACAGCCATCCCCGGTTATTGAGCACCCGAGCGACGTCGGGGTGTTCCGGACCCAGGAGACTCTCTCGTATAGCCTGCGACCGTTCATAAAGTGGCTCGGCCTCCGAAAACTTGCCCTGTGAAATAGTGGGTTGGTGTTGGTGTAAGACATTTGTCCAACAGTCGGTTGTTGAGGACGACAACATCAATTGGGCACCACAGGCCCGTTTCGGCAGATTCCTCAATGCTCTCACCTGAATCTCCAACAATCCCCCTCGGTGGTTGAGCGACTGGGCCACATCCGGGTGATCCGGACCCAGAACCTTCTCTCGTATCGTCTGTGCCCGCACATAGCGCCGCTCCGCTTCGGCATACTTGCCCTGTAGCAGACGGTGTTATGTTTTGGGGGAAGTCCGGGCTCAAACAATGCGCCCCTGAGGACTATAACATGTAACTCGCATGTCGCTGGAGTTTCTACGGCTCTCACCTGGTTCCGTAGCAAACCGGCCTGGTTGGTGAGCGTTGTTGCGAATGCAGGATGCTCAGGCCCTAATGCCTTCTCGCGGATGGCAAGCGAGCGCTCATACAACCGCCCGGCTTCCTTGTAGTTCCCCTGTAAAATGAGAAAAAAAGAGCACACAAGGAGCGTGGTCAAGGTAAGGGATGCGAAGGAACAGGTGGCCGACAAACCACCCCCAGCCGTGGGTCACAAAGCAAACGCCAATTGAAAGTGACCAACAGACTTGGACACTACTAAATTCATGAAAAGTCCGTTTCGGCTCTCACTCAAGCTCTCCACAACGTCGCCAGTTGTTGGACCCTACAGCGTCCATAGAGTACCACAATCACGTTCCTGGAAAATCCTGGTGGTTCTCACCTGACTCTCCATTAAACACGCCCGGTTGTTGAGCACAACTGCGACCTCAGGGTGCTCCGTGCCCAAGGCCTCCTCTCGTATGGACTGCGACCGCAAATACAGCTTCTCGGCCGCAGCGTACTTGCCCTGAAGCATGAGAGGATAGCACGAGAAGAGAGTGGTCAAGGCTGACGGGGTTGTAATTCATCAGAATTGTTTGGATGATCCCGCCGCAGGCCTCTCTCCCGAAGATTTTGGTCGATCTTGATGTGGTTAGGCCTCCGCATAATTTCCGGGACAGCAGTGGTGGATTGGTGTAGGCAGCGGTCCTCCAAAAATGAAAGTACCCAACAAGGTAATGTGAACCCTGTAATATTTTTCAAGAAAACTGTTCCACGCTCACCTGACTCTGGAACAACCCTGCCCGGTTGCCAAGTATAGCTGCCAGTTCGGGGTGGTGAAGTCCCATGGCCGCCTCCACGATTCGAATAGCTCGATCATAGAGACAGTCAGCCTCAGAGTACTTGGCCTAAGGAAGTGCAGCGAAAGTGCGACGGGAGGGCCGTTAAAGTCCACAGCAACGTTAGCTGGGAAGAAAACTAACACGTGCTGCTCAACAACCACGCCCGGTCGTTGAGCGGCTGTACCGCATCGGGGTGCTCCTCGCCGAAACTACTATCTCGTCCCGGTTGTGATCGCTCATAAAGTTGCTCGACCAGGAACAGCTGGTTGTGTAAGGCAGTCCACCACAATCCAAACATTTCACCGATACATGGTGGCTCCAAAAGTGTTTCGAGGACCATATGACTCTTACCTGACTCTTTAAGAACCCCGCCCAGTTGTTGAGAGTTCTGGCCAACCTTGGGTGCTCCGCGCCCATATATTTATCCTTTACTTCATGAATCTGCGCATAGAGCGGCTCAGCTTCTGCGTATTTGGCCTGGAACGTAGCCGACAGGGGTAGCAGGGTCACATTTCAGTATACGGAAGGATCTAGAACTGCGGAGTGGTTGTGCCCAACAGCAGCACCTTGAGGCATACAGCCGCAGATGGACGTTTCTCTTCAAGAATAACGCATTCTTGTGCTGAAGGCCAGTCAAGACCGCTGCCAAGGAACAACTGTTCTGTAACCAACTGTGTTTTTTTCACGGTAAGTCATCGTTTGAATGGCGATCACTTGCGATTGCAGCAATAACTTCCACTGCCCCAATGTCCAGGGTGATTCATTTTGTCCGGCGCGATAGGAGTGCGATCAAAGCCAGTAGACTGTATTGCAGAGGAGGGGTGTTTGTGATAACCGACGCAAAGCAACGTGAGTCATGCTAGGCGCGCAATTCGAAACCGCACCTCATGCCCGAAACAAAAAATCTGGCCCTCCGAGTACCTCGGGCCTGACATTCGTGGCCACCTTGGTCCCCTACCGTCGTCATCGACAGCCCCACACCATTAGAGGAATTGACGAACGCTATGACCAGCAATCGCAGTGTTTCGCTAGCGATGAAGTTGACTTCTCTAAATCATGTCCTTGCACGAAGTAGCGTCGAAGGAAGCGAATGCCGCGGGCTGCAGACCAAGCCCATACACAGGCTTCGACGCCCTCAAGCGGCGATTCTCGGCGAACCCTTGAAATGTATTATGAGGTCCAACTGATAGATCGTCTTACCTGCTCAATTAAAACGCTGGCGAGCCTCTCCTTGGCTGCAGCTACGCGGATCAGGGCCCGTCTCGATCCCTCGCTGCCGTTGTCTTCAACCCCCCGCGCTAGATCCTCAGCTTGCAGCAGTTCCTGGTGATAATACGAGCACACACCCCGTACGCATCAACATTGTGCACCGGATACAAGAAAATGGGCCAATCTATGGAGTGCCCAACGCGAGCTGTGTGGGGGAAAACACCAGAAAAGGCACCACCTGTTATTTTTCCCCATCGCCCTACCTGTCGGACGCCTGTCTCGGCCTGGGCGTATTGTCCAGCAGCGAGCTGTAAGTCCGATAGACAGTACCAAGTTCCATGCCAATTCTGCCGAGCCAGGCGAATCATCCTTTCGGTAACCTCGCGGGATACATTTTTGAACAGGTCTGAAGGGCGCATTTCCGTAGTCACGTTGAGGTCCCGCGCCCACTCGTACACGGCGTGTTGACCGCGTTTCAGTGCATAGAACTCGCGGAGGTGCAGCTGAATCTCACACAGGTGATCGTTCACGACGGGGTTCACTTTCACATCCCGGTAGCCGCTAGGCATCCAGTCGGAGTTGAAGCCATTTTTCACGCGCAGAACATTGCCCTGCAGCAGCCATTTCAAAAGGATAACAGAGAATCGCGGAAACGTGAGACCGCGTCTACCCCTACGGTACGAGGACTACGAACGGTACAGGAGGAGCACGAGCGGGCAGTCCATCGAATGTCCGACGTTTGCTCTAACTGAGATCGTAAGCAAAGGAATCCGATCGTGCTTGTCGCGAGGGTTCTAAATCAAGCCGGTGAGCTGGATGTAGGGGGTCTGTTCCAGTCTTTGGCCGAAACAAGCAGCGCATCGAGTTGGAATTGAACCCTCATCATTCGGAGAGCACGGGTACAGTTCTGCATTTTTCGACCGTGTTCGAGATGACCGCCACGGACGCCATGGGTGCTGTCGTCAATCACAACGAGGTCGTATTGTCGCATGACTGCCCGAACGGAGACAACTTTTCCATGTTTCAGCTGTCGAACTTTTCGTTATCGAAAAAAGGCACTGCTGTGCGAGCCACTCGAGTTTGGCGTAGCTAGATCGAGAGCGCAGACGTGCTGGAGCAATTGAAACACGTTTGTGGCGCTGGGTGTTTCCCCTTTCGATGCAGTTTGAGAAAAGAAAGTCCGCGTAAATACATGTGATGATGCGTCAGGTGCAATCCAGTCGAAAAAAATCGCCAGAATGCGAGAAAAGTCGTGCCCTGGTAGGTTGGGAATTGGTTCTCATGGTCCGCTGCGATGCACCAGGTTAGCCCGGAGAGCGAGGGGTCGCACGTGGAGGACAATCGGGTAAAGGAACGGACTGGTCTAGCCGGTGAAGAGAGGATAAACCACGTGGGCCAAAACTGGCCACGGCGAATGGTATACATATCAGGGTGCAGCTGTTTGAATTGTTACCATAACTTAGTATTCAAACCAAGCTATACCCGTCTACCCTGAGCATCACGATTGTCCGAAGTTGCCTCCAGGACAATAAATAGTTCAAGCAGCATGCATCCAGAGCGAAATAACACGGCACCACGCCCAGACTTGCAGGTTCTCCGAAAATCTGCACATCCATCTCACCTGAAGTAGTTGTACGATAGCCAAGTACACCTCTTTCAAGGCCTCCGGTGTGTCACAGATCACAGTCACCCTAGCCATGTCTGTAACCCTTCTGACATCCCCACCACAGCTGCTGTTGACCTTCCTTTCGGTACTTGCCCGTGACTTGACCTCCGCGCATTGAACCTCGTATTTCCCAGAGTCCTTCTCGACTGCCTTCTTCACGAGCTTGTCCAAACCCTGCTTTGCGAGCTCAGCTTCCGCAAGATAGAACTGCAGCATTTTTTGGAAACGAGATTCCTCATCGCAGTCTTGTAGCTCCAAGACCTTGGGCTGCAAGACGTCTTTGGACCGAACAGCGGCGATGGTATGTACACACTCAAGCCCGCCGTCCTTGTTTAGGTTGTAGTACAATCCGTCGTACTTTTCTTGGAACTGCAGCACGGTCTGGATCTGAAGGTGCTTCAGCATGTTCACCATCGCGTCTTGATCAACAGACGACGTTGCATTTTCACCTGGGTTCTTCAGCTCGGCCTCCAGCAGGAGAAGTTTCTTGATGTCGACCCTCATCTGCGATTCAAAGCATTGCGGGCGCGTGTACAGTATTTTGAAATATATCTTCCGGACTTCGCCACATGTGTTCGATGCAGTTATTTACCAAACGTAAGCCGGGGATAAGGTGTGATCGTAGCTTGCAAAACAGGAAAGAGTTAGTTGGCAGCAAGATGCATGCGCGTTGGCCGACCACTATCACTCGAATGTCAATTTTGGTTTTGTCGCACATACCCGGTATTCATGGGAGACTTAGCACCAGTCCCGCGCGATGAACATCCTGATTACAATTGCTTGTTGACGAAAACTCTGTTTCGTCCAAGTGCGCGAACCGCGCACCGCTCCCATGCGCATTAAACATCTCTGCATGCATGCAACATTTAAGCCGTTTCGCGCAAGTCCCGGTGCTGCCATGAGGATTTGCGGCATGTTTACGTCAAATCACCAAAAGAGTTTATTGGCGCTGTCACAACAACGGGGTTGTGTGGCAATAAGTCGTTCTTAGCAGACATTGCGGAGATGGGACCTAATGCTTTTTCGTGTTTTCCATTCTTTACCCCCCCCGCCCCATCTTGTAAGGCGCGAACAACATTTAGGGTCAAATGTTTGGCCCATTCTTCTGCACCTGTTCTAGCTCACGAGGAATGGCAGGGCTGTGTCCACCGTTGAACTCCTCGACAAGCGGAGTGCCGGGAACTGCTGTGGGTGCTATATTGAAGGGAGGAAAAATGGAGTTAGCGAAGTTCCACGTCTACCTGTAGTTAGATGCAAAGCGCTACTGAAATAGGGCCAAGAGCGGAAGAAACACTGTCCCGCCGACGAATAGGGGGCGCTGGGAAAACAATTCTAAGGAGCTCGGACGTTAGGTCCCGCTTTCTCTCTACAGGGATACAAATCATGAAAATCCCCTCTCGTGCCCCGCTTACGACGCTCCTGTCAGTTGTTGTCTACAACCCCTGTCAAGTGGCCCCTCGACAATCGAGGGTGCATTTGAGAGGTCTTGTCGACAAGAGACGGCTTAGGGGAGTCAGCTCTGCACCTGCACCCAAGTCTGGAACTGTCCTCATCGTCAAACAGTACGCGTTTTCTTCTTTTTCATACAATTTCAGAAATTTCTGAAGAACAACAAAATTCCTGTGCTTCCTTAAAGAACGCTTGCGCTGTGCAAGGCTAGACCAGTTTGAAGACCCAAGAATATTCGATGCACCC